CCATTTTAATGCTTGTATTACTGTTGATGTTTATTAAATAAGGCGGATGATGCTGGATTCAAATTTTTACGAAGCAGACGACGCACACGCGGTTATGCCAAAAAATAATTAATTTACCTTTGTATTGTTATTAAATGATCAAATATTGGTTATCAACATTAATTATTGTCCTTTTGTTTCATACTGCGTCGAAATCGGAAAATGCAAACCCAGAATAAGGGAACAACAATATGGAAACTCGGTCGGACCTTTTTGTGGACACAGTGAGGATGGGCCCCAATATAAGTCAAAGAAAACAATTGCAAATAGTCTGTGAACCAGTTGGAAAACCAGACATTGAATATATGTATCATCACAATCCAATACATCAGGTACATCCACCACCTTTGAAATACATAAATCAGTTGAATGTGTACATGTATCATGATTAATCTTTGCCATTGTAGAATGAGACCAAAATATAAGCAATAGACTGCTTATACAGTGTATAGATATTGCTTCTAAAAAAATCATTGCTTAAAGTGTTACCTTTCAAGCTTATGGTGTAGAATTTATTTCTGTTTTTTCTAAAGAAAGGGGGGGGGGGCTTACCAAAAAAAAAACAAAAAAAAAAAAACAAAAAAAAAAAAACAACAACAACAACAACAACAAAAAAAAAAAAAAAAAAAAAAAAAAAAAAAAAAAAAAAAAAAAAAAACACTATTAAGTTTCAAACAAAAGTACCAGAAAGTCAAGTTGAAAACAAAATATATTTAGATATAACTAACCAGTTAATCCTACAAAATTATGTCACAATAAAATAATCTTTCAAAAATACATTCAAATCATATTATAATTTTACCATAGAATTTTCTCTAAATAAGGACAAAAGACTTGCAGTTGCCTGGAATTGTTCAAAACTAAGGTCAAAATAATTCAATAGATTTTGCGTAGATGCTATTGTTAGGTGCACATTGTACAGCAGCCTTAACTTTGCCATATGTCCGGTTATATTAGTAGAATGTTCTGGACCTATTATATATTTATATTAGCTGGTTTCTATTTGTGAGAGGATTAAATTTAGTTTTTGTATAAATTCAGGTACTAAGTAATATAACCGATACAATGTTCTGTGTCATTGTAAAAGTAGAACTTGGTGAATATTTCAAATCCAACTATTAGGCACTACTTGCAACAGGGCTCAGACTAAATAATCTTTAGTATGTGATGTATTTAAATAAAAGGGAGAATGAAACCACCTATCTTGCCCAGAGAAGAGTATTGTCATATTTATTTAAATGCTCCAGGGCTTTCCTGGATTTCAGTGCTTTGTATTCATGAAATTTTAGACTAATGTTGTGAAAATTTAGGAGGCTCTGATATATAGGTAAGTCGTAAGATCAGTTGCATATCAGTAGTTATTACAGATTTACACAGCTTCCAACTCAATATATATGACTTGAAACAGGGGGATCTTAATTGTGTGGGGTCTGGGAGCAGTAAACCTCTAGAAATGGCCTTTCTCAAATCTCGTATCTTTAGGTGCTCTCATTGAGGATTCTATTTGCTAGCTATTAAATTGGAAAAAATGATCTTGTAATACAAACAGTGGGGGGGGGGGGGGATTTATCATTGTTTAACCACATAATTTATCAATATCATTGATTAAGTTTGAATGAAAAGGAAAATGCAAAATATTTTTAGATAAACATCCATTTTCTATTACTGGAATTAGGATATCTTTGTTATGATCCTGTAGAGTGCAGATGAAATGTTGGAAATTGCAACATCTTGTACAAGAATGTTTTTGTGATCACTTATTTATGAATACATGTATACCTTAATGACCAATTATTAAATCAAAAAAGTCAATACAGTCAAACCTCATTGTCTTGAACTTATGGGACAAGAAATAACTTTCAATAGAGATATCGGATATTTGATATGTCAAGGGTAAAATGCTCGAGGAGTAGGTGTCAATCTGGAGTAACCATGTAATTTAAGATTTCAGTCTTCCAAATACCAGTTAAAATTACAATTACTTCTGTAAAGCAATTAAAACTTATAGAACATTCATCCCATTGTATGTTGTATGTTGCAAAATGAATATATGGCTTTATTTTAATTATATTTAGTTGTCTTTAGACATCAGAAGTGACCCAAAGAAAGACTTTGTCAAGTACATGTACCTTAAATTCTTAATAATGTAGCAATTATTTCTCATAAGTCCTAGAAGGATGCTTAAATTTTGTAATTTTATAGAGATAATGCCGATTGTTTGACTTCGGGCATTGGGCTTACATTTTAAGGTGTTTGGATCTGAAAACTCCTTGCAAGTTGCTTATATTTTGTAATTTTGTACATGTATATAATGCTGATTCTAAGACTTCAGGGTGTGCATTTAGTTTACATTTTTAATGAGTTTGGTTTTGTTTTTAATCAGAACACCAGAAAAATATAATTTCCTTTTTTGGATCAAGTCCATATTGATAGCAGTACTAGTTATATTCAGGCTCATTGCATATGAAAATATATCTCCAATTGGTGTCATTAATAATCAAATATCTATACTTAAAAGAATTTTATACTTTGCTATGCATTTTGTACTACACTGGAACAATATGGTCATGCAGAGCTGTATAGAGTTCTGATGTGCATACATGTGTCACAGGCATTAATAATGTTTATTGAAAGACTCTTTATCAGAGGTAAAGGAATTAACACATAAATAAAGATAAGTTGAGTATACTAGTATGACAAGCATCTGTAATAAAATTGCAGCCTAAAAATCACAGGTTCAAATTGGCACTGTCAACGTGCCAGATATCTTCATTGCAGCTAAACTGGTTATTGGTAAGTATAAATTTGAATAAACTTGTTACATGTATCAGGTAATGTATCTTTTTCTAGGAATATCATTAAGACCAGCATATGTTTTCAAAATATCATTGTAATTGACAGTTCTACAACCATTGGTAACCATCACTAAGTAGTGTGATCTATTCCTATAATTGTGTAATTCACATTTGTGTTGGGAATCTCCCAAGAAACTACATATTTGGGTATCAATAGGAATATAGTAAGATTCAACCTTGAAACTGGAGGTTTTGAAATGTAATTAAGGATTTCAAATAGCTCTGCTTAAATTTGCTAATTAGAGAGTGAATGTGTCACCTTCGGTGACATGAAACTTGGTTCATCAAATAGCAGCATATGCGTTGGCTTTCCTAGCAATTTTCATGGATTGAGAATTGTGCTATATGTAATGATAATGAATGAAACTCCCCCTATTTGGTTATAAATCTCCAGATATTTGTTTTGATGAATTACAACCTATATATAAAACTTGCCTTGGCTAATGGACAATTCAAAAAAAAAAAAAAAAAAAAAAAAAAAAAATTAACAAGCAATGGTAAACTTCATGTAAATGGATTGCAAGGTGGCATATACATTTGTGAGGCAGGATAGTAGGGAAGTTTCTTTTTACAAGACCAAAGCTTTATTAGGCATTGAGGGAATAGGTGAGATACATGACATTATATATATATATATATATGATATCATATCACAATATCAAGTCTCGTTTAAAGTCATCATTTCGTAAGTTCTATGGTCGATACAATGACCTTGTCAGCAAATAAAATCTATCACTAAGTCAAATGCTGACTGATGTTTTTCATACTTCCTGGTAGTTGTTAGACCATTTATATTATTTACACACTGAATTATCGACAGATTTTCCTGTTATTTCCCTGTCATGATAAGGACACAGCAGGTGTGACCGGTCGGCAGAGGGTGTTCACTCCTCCATGGCACCTGATCCCACCTCTTTGTTTCAGAGGTTTCAGAGATGTTTGCTCTGCTCACCATATTTCATTGGCAAGTTTTGATTACTTAATGTGTTATAGCACCTTTCTTAATAGAGGGAAATTCAAAATTAATTCCAAGTCTGCTGAAGGATGAACACATCCATACATCAAGATGTGTGCAAGTACCCATTGGGGAGGGGGGTCTTGGGCAGTATTGGTCGTGGAACAGTTGACTTGTTTTGCTTCCCCCAATGTGTGGGGTGACTGCAATCTGTGCCAGCTTGCAGCCATGTGGCGTCTGCGCACACCAAGTCAACTGATAACTGAATATTTGTGTGAAACTTGTACTGAACTGTCACCTTGTTGATATGCTAATGCTAGTGTAAACTAAGCTAATAAGCTTACTCTTGGTGACAGTGATATATACTTTAGAGCTGTAATATATAGTACAAGTTTGAAATATGAAAAAGTTTGATATTTGAAGTTTGAGATGTTTGATCTATGAAGTTTGAGATAATTGATATATATTATGTACAAGATTTCATATGTGAAGTTGATATGATTGATATTTGAAGTTTGAGATATGACTTTGATTTTGAACAGTTTGTATGTTGATTTTGAACAGTTTGTATGTGTGCTGACCCTCCGCGGTAAACCCGGGACGGTTGGAATTTGAAACACACATGGTGTTTGAATTTGGTGGGATTGCCCAGTTGAAATGGCATCCCACAATGTTTGTATTTTCTTGTGCCACGGCCAATACTCGCCACAATAAATAAGTATAAATTCTACACTGAGTTTTGTGTCATTTTCTCTGTATAAATAAATGATATTTTTTTTGCTATCTTATACTTAAATACACATATTGGCAAACTAAGGAGATGTAAATCTTTTATACCTAAAAAATAATATTATTAACGATTAATTGACTCGACGCTTAATAACATACAAACTAGGTGTAATTCATTCAAAGCACTATACGTAATTAAAATTAAAAAAAAAGACAGAAATAGAAACAGAGACAAATATGACATTTAAAAACCTTCTTTCAATTCAAAATAAAACTGGTCTATCTAAACAAGTTTAAATATCTCATCGCCGTTTTGGCAGATGGTTTACGCACACCCCTCTTTTGTTTTTAGATGTAGCGTGAACTGAATTTGTTAGTCTAAAAGGCTTGCTTTGGTCTATTGTGACATTTTTACCTTTATTTGAAAAGAATCATGGCCGTCTTGAGTTTAATTTTCGGAATATACACATCGTGTTTTCTATTTGGTGAGTTACGTCTTTAGTAACAACGATATTAAAATCCATTTTTAAATTTAACTTATGGATGTGATCATGATATTTGTATTCTTCTTTACACGTTGGTGAAAGTTTATAAGTATTCCAAAACAATTGAAGAGCACTAGTAGAATTTTCTGATACATGTTTATAACTGTTTCATTCTAAGATCACTTTAAAATAGCTATAAAGGACTTTGATATATTTACGTGTATGTTCATATAAAGATAAATCTAAAGGTCATATACAAGTATTTGATGCTGATTTGAACAGTACTAGTTGTATCTTTTTTCTATTTTAAAAAACGGCCAAGGAATTAAAATGATGAATGATTTTTTTTAAATTTTAGGTTTCACAGAATGCAGCCATGATAAATACTGCTACTACTCCATTGCTTACTTATATTATTGTGAAGACAAATGGTAAATATTTGATAATGTTCACATTTGTTAACGCTTATCTTTTAGGAACTAATACATGTACAGTGTTAATGCAAAAAAGTGCGCAATCGCAACATCTCTAGGCTTTAATTCCACGTTTGCAGAAAATGACCGAGAAGTTGGAGAAATAGGATGATCTCAAACGTATTTCTGTACTGTTTATAACATCAGTTAAAACTGAGTGCTCTCGAATTCAAAGTAAATGTAACCTCAATTTTATCAAATATTTTATGAATTCCCGTTTTCCCTTAGAATTATGCAATATTATACACATATACTGATTTTTGATTAGCAATAAATCTTAAAAAACCTGAAACTCATTCTCAGTGTCTAAATAATAGCAACTGAAATGTCAATTCTCTCAGTTACAGACAATGAGGCTTAAAAATTCTTTGAACATTAAAAATACTCTTACATATCATGATGAAATTTCATGAAACATATAAATTTTTATGCAACATCTATCATGCAAAATCTATGGACTTATCTTATAAATAAAATAAACTACATGTGTATTTACATAACCTCATAATATACTATCCCCTGATTGTTCTTATGTATCAGACATCATCGTGTTTATGAACTATATAATAACGTACAATTTGTAGTATTTTTGAAAGATTTCGCTTTCAAAGAACATATTTGCATTTAAGTATTGATATTGGATTGAAATTTGACGATTATAACAAGAAGAATTCTGGTTTTCATTAGCGAAAATGAGCTGGAGACTGGAGCTCTGATAGGAAGTATCTTCGGGGGAATTTTCGGACTTGCCATAATCATTGGAATAACTATTTGCGTCTCGATCAATATCTACAACAAACGGAAGACGAATGTCCAACCCCACAATGGAGCCATTATTTACCATTCTCACACTCTCCCCCACCCACAAGGAACCGTCCACCACAGTAAGTTAAATTTTGTACTTATAATTACATATCCGTTTAACTGATATCACACTAAGTCAAATTCTGTGTTTATAACACGGTAGCCTAGTGGTAGGGTGTTCGCTTCGTGATCGGGAGATCCAGGTTCGAACCTAAGACGTAAACATAAGTAGTGACTGTTCCTTCACCAAGCACCCGGAACTAGAAGTAAAAGTCTAAGGTCTTTATGAGACCTTAAAAACTGAGATCCCGTGTCACGGTAGGCGTTGGTACGATAAAGAACTCTCACTGCCCAATGGCCCCGAGTGCCGAGTATAGGTAATTGAAGCCCTTCACCGTATATGGTGACGTTTGTATATGAGTGAAAAAATCTCTAATGGAACGTAAAACAACATACATACAATCTATCAATCAATCACTAAGTCAAGTTCTATGTTTATAATTACATTACTGTTAGACTTATATAACAGTAAGTCAAATTCTGTATTTATAACCACACTACTATTTGACTTATACAGAAGGAAAAAAAATGCTTGAATACACAGAAATGATTTGAAACAATGCAAAAATTCTCGAGATTTTCTTATGACTGAAAAATCAGATACTTTAAGTCTTCTGTACATGTAACCTCAAGTAAACCTGTTTGACTTGTTCATTATGGAAAACGTGTATAAAGATATTTCGATGTTTTGGAATAATAGGAAAAAAACTTATTTTCTGAATTTGGAAAATAGGAGATTTCTTTAAAGTCTACTCAAAGCGTAAATTTTCTGACATTTTTTCAATCAAAGGTTCATGATTTTTGATTTTATGTGGCAATACCACCTACGGATGGGTTTATATCTCTCAAGAAATTCAATACGAATAGCATGCTCAACCTACCAACATTTTCTAAAACGAGGCAAGCTATTGACTGACGTTTTTCATACTAATTGTTAGGCCATTATCTAACACGAATTGTCTACGGATTTTTCCATTTGCCCGATCATGACAATGAGAATACTACGATTGTGACAGGTCAAAAGGGGATGCTTACTCCTCCAGGGCACCTGATCCCACCTCTGATGTTTTTTAGAGGTCTGTGTTTGCTCTGCTCCTGATTTGTATTGTTTCAATGGATTTTGCGCTTGATTATTGTTTGTCATCTCCATATCTCATACTTTAAGAGATAATTTTAAAATCCATGTAAAACTTGAAAAATACGGAATAAATCTAATATGAGTAGCAGTAATTCTAAAAGATTTGCCAGTTAAAGAAATACCTTGCTTACTTAATATAAAAAAATCATCAAATGGTGAAGGTCCGATTAAAACTTCATATGCATAAACATTTTTAACTAAGCAAACTTTTACGCATTTGCATCAACAAACAATGATATCATCATTAGAAATATAGTACCCTTATCTTTTTCATGCAGTGTACAGTGTATATGTTTTGGTACATAATAATGGACATATAAATATAAGTAAAATGTTTAAATGCCTTATACATAGTACAATCCATGATTTTCAATTTGGTTAGGAGGGGGGGGGGGATTATTTTATGCTTATTTTATGCTTAAGAAAAGTAGAGAGGAAATATCGCCCGTTAATGAACGGTTATGCAGTTATGCTATACATATGAAATAAAATAAGTTTAATTCAAAATGAATTACTTTTTTCTTTTTTTGTATAGAAATAATGTTAACCAGATTAAAATGAAAGGGAAAACACTACAGTAATACAGTTTTTCCCTATATTTCTAGGCATTGCAACCCAACAAACCTTTAGATATTGATGTTCGGCAAAGGATAGCACCAGCAAATATGAATCTATCAAGGAAAGAATCAAGTCTTTTTTGTCATACAGAACAGTCTTCTTCCATTTGAGTTAACATTGTACTTAATTACTACCATAGAGAAATAAAGAACAAAAGACATTTTTCAATAGCAAGTTAGAATTTACTAACTATAGATAAAATACTTTGACAGAAATGATGCTAAATTCATTGCTAAATTGTGAGTTATATATGTTTGTGTCTTATAAATGTGTACAATCTTACATAAATAATTATAGCAAGAAAAATATTCAAAATCTTTTGATTTGCAGCTTGTTTTGTCTTTTAAGTGTGTCGGTGTTTTATTGATATGCTGTATATAATTACAAATATTCTGTAAGTATTATGCATATATATTGTTTGTTGCAATTGAAGATTTTATCTGTTTAAATGTTTCGAAGCTGTATAAGGTATTTCTTTTGAAATATCTGAAGCTATAAATCTGTTGTATTTATTGTGCTGTTTGTCACGGGTCATTAAATAAAAATGAGAACCTTATGGGTGTAAAATTATAACAGAGATCACAGAATAAGCCCGGTTTGTCTATAGTTGTATGACTCATAGATTTCTTCCGGGTACGCAGAAACGATTGCCTTTCGAAGCTTAATTCCTTCGAATTCTTTGCTTGTATGAGGGTAGGCTGTAGTATGCAAGAAACAGCTGGATGAACTTATCTACGATGTTCATTATGAAAATGCTGAATTAATTTTATTTTCATTGCAATTTTGAAACAAGATATATATCCCGGTAGATTTTTCTTGAGTTTCCATGTGAAGCATTGCTTCCCAAAATAGGGCCTTAATCTCCGTGGACTGTATTTGGAAATCTTTATTATGTGGAAAAAATTCCACAGTGATCTTGCTTTTCATGGTCCACTTGTTTTTAAAAAGATATTTTCTGAAAATTTTTTTCCTTAATACTTTATCCTTCTGTTGTTACCGAATCATTCCTCTTGTGGCGACGACTTGATCTAATATAAATCAACATTCTGTGGGGATGTTTGCAGTTAATGGGAATAGATTCCTCCATTTGTAATCTTTCTATAACTCTGATCCCTCATTGTTACTTCATAGTAGTCCCCAAATTCATGATTTGCGGAATTAGAATTTATACTTATTTATACTTATTATACATGCTTAACCTCTGTGTGATTATGTTTTTACCCCTTTCTAAAGATTACCAATGTTAAAGATATCTTCTTTTATATTCATTCGAGGAATATTTGTTGGACCCAACATAATCCCTTGGACTATAATCACAAATCTCATTCTACTCTACAAGGGGACTTTCATATAATTAAGATGTATGTGGTCCTGCTGTTAAAGAGAATAATACTTGTGTTTTTTTTTCTATAACCCCCCAAAAAAAATCTTTGATTCTAATGACCACTACATGTACCTAGCCCTTGTGACTATGATTGTAGCAAATCTGAATCAACACTACTTTGAATTGGAAGATATTATAAAAAACTGCTTATGCTTTCCTTTCTGTTTTATCTTTTCTGAGTAAGTGGTTTTCGAGAAGTTTTTGAATTTTCACTGTAATTAAACATTCTTAAAAAAGGACTGTTGCCTTCTACTTAAACAAACTTGGTCCTCCTTATAAAAAGACGTTTTTTCCACCTTTGAATGACATGACAACAGTTGTTATGGAGAATTCAAAATTAGTAGATAGAGTTAATTGGCGATAGAAGATTAGAAGGGCAGATCAAAGCTCTCGAACTTTAGTATACCGGTAGTTCGAGATAAGGTAAATATTGTCTTATATTAGCCATATTTTCTCGTATTGTTAAAACTGATTGGATCTGCTTTAAACTATTGATGTCAAAGCATGATACGGTCTATGGCATCCGTTCTGCAACTTATGTAGACGAGTTTATCTATTGAAATGTCTTGAAAGAACATTTAGATATCCTTAAAATTACTTATAACAATAAACCTTTTGTTCTATCTGTATTGTTTTGCATAGCTCTTTAAAAATCAGAACCGCTTGCTAACTTGTTGAAGAATTGATCGTGTGTATTTTAATTTTCGGTAGGTTACACTCAAATATTAACAGGAACCGTTCAATACACATAATTTGAAAAATGGAGTCGTATGTAAGAATTGGACACATTTTTCTGTTTGCTGTTTTTGTTGGTAAGATTTAATTTCAATATATTTAAACCAAAATAAAAAATGCTATTGTAATACTTTTTATCTAGTAAGAAATATTCCCCTTTTGTTTGTGTTTAGTTTTGTTGTTGTTTCTCTTCCCTTCTCTTCCTCTTTCATTTTCGTTTTCTTTCATTCAAAATGATTTATTAGGAATATGTCTTTTTTTTGAAAACTTCGAAATTAAAAAATATCTGCTGCTTAAGCTTATCAATGAAACGTCCGGGAATTCGCATTCACTATCGATATTTGCTTATACCGGTGGCAAATTAAATTAAAGCAGGCTTATGTATTTTCCTCGACAAACATTATTCCTTAGCAGTGCATAGCGAAATATACTGAATATTTTGATGTCAATTCCAAACTTGCATTACATTGTATTTGCTATATTATGAATCACATGATTTTGTTTTGTTTTCTTTTTAGGACTCTGTCATGGCAAATATTGCTATTATGATATGAATTTCGGGGCATTTTACTGTAAACAGGACTGCACGTACGTCATTACAGTAATTAAAAAAAAATATTGAGTTTACTCAAACATTTTCAGGTCTACCTTAGCATTATATTTACTGTTGAGGTGTCCATTGATTTGTGATTGTTGATTTGAATTATAAAGCTTAAAGTCAAAATGAATTAATTTCTTTCTCCAGAAAACGTTTTTGTAGAGACATATTCTGTTAATCGATTTTTTCTCTATAAAATAATATATCTTTTTTTCTTGTACATATATTGAATCTGTTTTATAATTAAACAGTGATGGCACCAGCATTGTCGGCGGAGTTGTGGGCGGGGTGTTGGCCGTTGCCATAGTAATCGGAATAACAGTGTGTGTTTCTGTACACCTGAAATTTAAGCAACACGGGGATAGTCCACATCAGAATAATGGAGCGCCACAACAGCGTCCAAACACCATTCCCCCTCTTCATGCTACGAATTCAAGTAAAATTTCATAATTACGTGATGTCATATATATTTATGAAGACTATAATGTGTAGACAGCCCTCCCCCACTCCCCCCTCCTTCAATGTTAAACCCCGGGATTGTTGGACTTTTTGACAAACGTAATATGAATATTTATAAGAATTATTTTATCAAGTATACCATTGAAGAAATCTGGGTATCACCCCCCCCCCCCCAAAAAAAAAAATGTTTCATACAGAGAACATATAAGATGTTACGTAAAGTATTTTTTGATTGAAGAAGTTGTTTCGGATTTTCCTAGATTATTCCTATGGTATATTTCGTTAAAGAAAATTCAAGAAGCCCAAAAGCTTAAACTCAAGAAGGGGGGGGGGGGTTGTACCCACAATTTTCTGTGATGTTTATAAATAACATACATATATCTAATATTTATTTTAAAAAATATACATATGTCGTCGGATACCCTTCATACTTTATAGTCCAGGGACCTGTTTTACAAAAGAATTTACGACTAAGACCAAAAAAAAAAAAAAAAATAGTTGATTGCAAAATTTTGTAAAGTTGGTGATTCTGTTTGAAATTGCTAGCATAAAAATGTACTGTTAGTTTCTTTTTTTTTTTTTTTTAAATTAAATTATTTTCAAATAAATGTAAAATAGAAAGAAATAAGCAAAATTAAATTTTGGTCCCTGTCGTAAGTTCTTTTGTAAAACGGGCCCCAGCTGGACTATAAAGTATGAAGGGCCTCCGACGACATATGTATATTTTTTAAAATAAATATTAGATACACGCATCATTAATTAAGATTAAAGCCCTGCCACTTGTCCACTTGTTGATTTTATTAGGCGTGAGATTAATATCATTTAACAATAATACTTTGTATACCTAGATAAGGGAAACAATTTACATCGACTTCGGTTTAGTATTCTCGTGATGTTTTTTTGTAATTACATTTTCACGGGTTTTGTGTTCCTTCAGATTAATTAAAATTCATATAATCTTAAAAGACTATACTTTATATAAATAAAATACAAATACAATTTCATACAAAACAATACAAAACCAAATTTTTTTTTTTTTTTTTTTTTATAAATATTTGTAGATAATGGTCCCCCACCTGCGTACATGTACCAGGAACCCACTGGGACACGACAGACCGGGACACATGCTTACATGTAAATCTGCCAAATCACGAGGATGTTGACGATTTAAAATTGTGCCTTCGCTTTTTGCTGGAAATTGGCCAAATGTATATGATTTAGTTTTATATACCTGAATTGCGGTTTTTCAATCAAATTTGAACATTCCATGCACAGATGTATCTCAGCTTGAAACATTTTCATAAAGAAAAGCTTATCAATAACGACAAAAAAAAAAAAAAAAAAAAAAAAAAAAAAAAAAAAAATCCTTAAACAGACATTTCTCTTTTTTAAAAGGTATTATATACCCCTTCATACTGCAGAAAAACCTAACATTATTAAATGATCTTAACTACTAGTATTTTAAATTATGCACTTCCTCTTTATTTATATATATGTTATTTATACAGTATGTTTGTACTCACTTCCAATAAGTTATGAATTTAAAATCTCTGCAACTTAATAGCCTTAAGTGCACTTCGGCAATTATAACCGCAAACTTGAGAAGAATTTGCTTTTGAGACTTGAATGTCAGACGCACTTGTTCCTGTTTTCCCTTTGCCTTTGTAACTATGAGTCATCATTTGAAGAAAAAATCATAGTCAACAAAGTCTAGCTAAGAATGGAAAGCTTTTGAGAAGTATTGTTAATTGCACTGGAAATTCTGCTAATAAGTTACTACAAAGAAACAAAGTATCACAAAATGATACACAAGTCAATTGATAACTCAAAAGGAACTAATATAATGACTGAATTGTCATTGAAATGATTATGCCTTCATGTCAACTTTGATAAACATTTTTGCTTGCCACAGTATAAACCGAAGCGTCTTCTTTCTGCCCATGTAAATATGTTCCAAGTACAATTATTTTGATATTTCCATCAGACGCCTAAGTTTTGAATAAATGTAGATTCTTCATTTTTGATGAACACTGAATTTCATTGTTATTTTTGTGGATGTGCCAGACGAAATTCTTTGATCATTAAAGTAAGAATTTTAATAATGACATATTTAGTCAACGTACATGTAACTGTCAACGAATACTTATGTCAACAAATTCGTGTTTTTTTTGTT